ACATCTAACTTTGCAGTTACATCTGTTTTCTTTACAATTATTGCATTGTAACAATACTTTTTCGGCAAAAGGTTTCAATATAGATGCAACGCTTTTCGCTGCTGTAAGTAATGAAATTATTTAGTTTAATTAATAATCCATATTGTTTATACATTTTATTATTGTTTTCAGTTTATGGGTAGTATCACAACATATATGTTGATATTGGTACAATTCTTGATTACGTCACATTCTTGTGACAGAAAGTCAATATTATATAACTAATCTAGTTGTATAAAAGAGATAATCAAAGAATAGAATATGATTTATTTGTATAATTCCTTATAGAAACAAATGTTATATTAATGGAATTTCGAAAATTTTTATTTCTATCTTTCACATTATGATATTATATTATGTCATATTTAGAAGAAAGAAAATTTACTTAATTTTTTTGATACAGTCCTCCAATATATATACTGATATCTTTGCAAGATTAAATTGAATACCTTGTGAATTTTGTCAATCTATCTTTAGTTTAGATTACACCAACAACTGTATCAGTTTTTAACACAAATTCAGATTTATACGATTAAGTGAAATAAAAATGTGCACTATACCAAATTAAGAATAATTAATCGTTAATAAAACTCACAGGTTTACAAAAAAGTACCATATGCTGGGGTGAAGATCCAGCTATTCTTATGAATTTTGAATCGCTGAATACCAATCTGACATCAAAATAGAACCATCCAGTAAATTTTCAATCTAAATCGAAAAAATGAATTTTTTTCATATTTGACCCATTTCTTCACTCTATCAAATTCGTATTCAGCAACTCAAAGTACATAATAGCTGGATCTCCATCCCAGCACAGGGTACTTTTTTTTGTGGGCTTATATAGTCGTTAATGTGGCAACTATTTTCGGTATTCTACAAACATCACTTCTGATTTCTTTAAACAGAATATAAAAGTATTATATAAAGAACAGAATAACATATTTCAAATTTATACTAATTATAAAAGATGAACAAAAATGGAGCGATGGATTACATAATTGTTGTTACTCGATTTTGTAATCCATATTTAAAGTAAGAAATTATAGAGTCATATGTACGCAGCGAAAGATAAAGAAAATTGTAAATAAACGGAAATTATAAGAAAAAAAGAATGCTTTACAAAAAAATGACACAGTCCTTTTCATTATGCACTTATATAAGATCTAAAGGATTTTTAAGGTTTTTGTTCACTTACCATTATTTTAGATTATGATGTCAGAGAAAACAATGCAATTCTTGTAAAAAGAATTATATATGAATAAAAATAATTTTTAATAAAATAACATTTGCAATTAATTGACTTACAAAATATACCAAAAACTTTCGGAGAGAAATTAAATTATACTTATTTTTATATACTATTAATTTGAGAGCTTATATATCATAGCTATAATCCTATCTCATTTCGTCTTTCGTTATGCATAATTAGTTTCCACATGATTATTTGTTAATTAACAAAACAAAAGAAGAATTTTCGATATATTTTGCTAGTTGGTTTTATCAATTATAAGCTTCATTAAAACATATTTCCATATAAATATATTTGCAAAAATTTTTTATCGTTGCGCTAACGTCACAATCTGAATAATAATGGTGAAAGAATAAAAGCAATAAATTAAACATAAAGATTTTTTTTAACAGAGAGAAAAATTCTAATAAATTCTAATAATGTTAATTTTAATCTTAAAAAAATACCTTCTTATTTATCTACAAATTGTTTGATAAAAATTACCTACAACTTTTACATATTTATTGTGTTGTATTTCTTTATGATCATTTATCAAAATAATAAAATATATGCATTTCTGAAAAGTATGAAATCATATATAATCATATAAATAAATAATTTATTTTTATTTTACTTAACTTATCTCTCCGTTTTTACAAATCTCATCCTTCTCTCTCTCTCTCTCTCTCTCTCTCTCTCTCTCTCTCTTTCATTCAAAGATAATATAATTATATCTAAATTGGATTAAATATTTAACTTGTAAGAACAGATCACATACAACATATTGCCCATATTGTTAGCAAATTGAGTTTTATATATTAATGTAATAATTCGATTAAGTTTTTCAATGACGTAATGTAATCAGTCCATCATTATAATAATATCATTTGCTTCTGAGAAAATACTACTTTATTTTATTGACCTTCAACAGGAGGACAACTTTGAAATTAATCTTTGTCCATAAATTATATTACGTATCTGTTAAGTTTATCAAAACTAAAGGAATATAGTAATTTATTTTAATCTAAATAATTACGTTAATTCTAATAAGCTTGCTATTATATTACTATACTCAATTTATTATAGTGCATTACATTATCTTCTGTGTGTGTCTGTATTTTGCACTATATTAGTGTTTCTCAAAATACACGCAGCACAATTCAATAGTACATATTTTAGTGTGTACAATATTAGATATATAATAATTAATAAAATTTAGTTTATTGTATTTTAATACATTTATGAAAACATTTTGTAATTACATTTATTTCCAAATTAAGAAAAATAAATATTACTGAGATTGAATTAAATGTTCTAAATATTTCCTTATTATAACTTACATATATACAAGTGCGTGTGTATTTAAAATTAAGAACGTTATTTAAATCTCAAAGTTGTGGTAAAAGAAGATGTTTATTAAACATTTTCCTGCACAATAAAAATGTACCGAATCAGGAAATTATAATTAACTATAATTTTTAAGAATCTCTAATCTGATTAAATTCTAGTTGATACTTTCTATTCTGAGAAATTTAATGTGTAGGTAGCACCTTACAGAAATTACATATTATTACATTAAGAACTATATTTCAAAGATAACAGATCGAAGAGCGCCATGGATACTTAACGACTAACATAC